GTAGATAAAAAAAAGTCAAGGTATAAAATAAGGGTGTTTAAATTCCCAATTTAAACAATTAAATTTTAAATTAAACAATTTAACAATTAAAATTAATTAAACAATTAAACAATTAAATTCCCAATTTTGTCAATTAAACTTTAAACACCCTTATTCTATACCTTGACTTTGTTTATATATATATAGATATATATATATATCTATGTATATATATACGTGCTAATCTTGTATAACATGTATCATATATCTGTTTGCTATATCACATATCAAAATATGTGAGACGTACGTTTCGATGCATTTTACAGTTAGCGTCTTTTTGCAGACAGTGGAGCGGTGCTAGGTCAAGGCAAATCCGCCGCAGGCAGTAGCGATGACAAGCGTCAAAGTAAATCGAATCCAAGCTTAAACGCAAAAAGCTCAGAGGCCGGTGAGTCTTAGAAACAACGGCGCCGATGACTCCACGAAATCGGGCCCTGAATAATATATGCTTGTCCAAAGTCAGGACTTGCGCGCTGAAGTTTCCTGAGGCTATTGCCTCTTGTTGGTATTAATTCTTAATTTGTTTTCTATCACTGTGCGCTGGCTAAATTATTAATAACGAAATCCACGTGAAACGCTATCGCGGTCAATTATCGGTTTGCTTACTCCTAACTCAATCATCGAAAGAGGTGGAAATTCTTATGGGAGATTTGACGGGCAAGACAAATAGTGAAGTACTATAGTGCGGGACTGTGCGATTATTTGAAGAGAGGGAGCGCAGGTAGGTACGGATGGAGTACCAGTATATCTTCATCCCAACTTCTTCTAGTGTCGCTGCCGGCCTTGGCCCCTCGTTTGGATGTATGTCCGTTAGTTACGGATTAAAGGTGTATAGTAAGAGGAAATTATAAATGTGATGTATTTGTGCCAGTGGAGTATTATTAGTAGTAGTCGGTAACGTTTCAAAAATAAATTATTATAAGTTTGATAACAATAATAATAATAATAATAATAAAAATAGTAACGATGATGATGATAATGATGATGATGATGATGATAATGATGATGATGACGACGACGACCACAATGATGATGATAATGACGATGATCATGATGGTAATGACGTTGATCATGATGATGACGATTATGATGATGGTGATGATGATGGTGATGATGAGGAGGATGATGATTGATGACGATGATGTTAATAATAATGGCAATAAATAAGTCCGCCAAATACAGTAATAAACACAATATTCAGATTTATACGTAGTTAGAATTATTCGTGATGGATGACGCGGTCACTGATTTCCCACATCATAATGTGAGACGGCTACGCGAAGAAGAACAGTATCCGCGATAAATTTATGTTCTCAGCTCGGTCCGGATAGAGCTGTTATATTACACGATGTAACTATCCCTCTGGCGAGCGACAATGCATTTTGTCAGGAAAATTACGGCCATTTTCGTCAGATTTATTGAATGCTCGTGCGCGTTTTTTCCCACGTCGCGTTTAAAAGGCCCCATGTCATACGAATAATATAACAGCCACACAACAATTTCTTGTTTAAAATAAAGCTCGGATATCACGAACTCGCGCCGGGCGTGCGTCCGCTGGGAAAACTTGCAGCGATAGTGAGAGAGAGAGAGAGAGAGAGAGAGAGAGAGAGAGAGAGAGAGAGAGAGAGAGTAGGCGGCCTTGCAGGATATTCAACGAATTGATTCGTTACACTAACCATAATATGCGCATTGCTGCTCATATGTTTCGCTTAATGCGACAGTGTGCTCCCAAGGGAACTTACGTGTGTAGACAGGCAGGCAATCACGGATTGCGGAGTCCTTCGTATAGGAAACGAGACCTGCATAGGACTGCAGTATGGGGGGCACCGCTGTAAAATTGCAATACGATTACGTATTTACTCGAAACCATCTCAGAATATCGGCAGCGTCGATAAATGTTTAATTCGGCGATCTCTCAGCTGGCTATAAATGACGCTCGTGTGCGTAGCCTCGTGTGTTTTTTGCCTCTCTCTCTTCCCCCTGCTGCTGCAATCTACAGCACTTGCTAAATCGAACACAAGTTTGCTTTCAAATCGAGTTAGTCGATGCGTGATGCCGGTTCGGCAATTATTTTAATTGCTTTAGAGTGGACCGACGTCGGCGGAGCGGTCAGGACGGGGCGGCCGCAGATTCGTAACGACGAGCCTCAAGGTCAAGCACCTGCAGCCACAGGTAAATGTCACCTTGCGCATGTCACCAGCGTGAAGACGCGTTTTAACGGTCGTCTCGTCATTGTCACGTTTAATTTAATATCGGTATTGTTGTTGGGTAATTAATTATCATTATTGTACTCTATTGATTACGTACACTTCAGCCTCCCTTGATTTAATATGACTAGCTAGGTCACATATCCCAGCTAAAAGATCGCGCTTTTAATTAATATTTAATTATATTAATTTCGAATAATTTTGTCGTGAGTTTTTTGCACTGCGCGAGAATTCTCGAAGGAAAATATAATACTAAACTCTTGCCCAATGGGAGCTTTTTCCAGATTATTAAAATATATGATCTGACTTTTTGTCGGGACAAAAAATAGCGAATGCCTGCATAGTGTGTGTTATTAAAAAGTGTGTTAGAATTATTTAAAAAAAAATATTTTGAAATGGAGAGTGAAGTTTGATCATCAAAGATAACGAGCTAAAATGAAGTACCTAATAATGGTGTGATTAGTTTGCAAAATATAAATAGAAGTGATTAATGTAAATTTTTTAATTAGTTTTAGTCAGTAATTTATTTTTTAGCAAGTGCCAGTTATAACCTAGTGTCCCCTGTACTCCAACTCTTTACGTAGATTTCGCGAGCCACTATTTACTGCATCATGTCCGACAATACAGCGTAATGACGTCACATTTCTTCCCAGCGTCTGTCAGCTCCGCACTCCCTGCTAGGCAACCGACGTCTGCGCTACTCTGCTGGCTCGTGGTGGCAGCACTGTCAGCGCGCGCTCTACACACGTGACCGTCGCGCACGCAGACGCCTTCTTCTTACTTCAAGCCGTGCTAGCGTGAGCGATGACGTCACGTTACGTCTGCGTTATCGAGAGAAAAAACTAACACACAGACGTGCCAAATGTATTATAGCGGAAATTATTCGAAGAATAGACTGATATTCTCCCCCGTGTGACGTCATACCGACGGTGGTCACGTGGTCTCCCATGGAAATCACGTTTCCGTGCTCATTAGTGTTTTCAATGGACGCCGAGTAAGGAAAAATTATAGTGTATATACTGTATGTGCAAAGAATATGTGAATTGATTTGAATTATTGCGTGCTCTAATGAAATACCTTATATAGGCATGTGTACAGTGTACTCGCTAGTGTTGTTATAGCGTTATGATTATACGATTCTGATAATAAAAATCACGATTTTGACGATATTCAGCGGAAAGATATTACCGCGAATGGCTCGCATTCATCGACTAAAAAGTAATTAATTAAATTATTAACAATTTTAATTATTAAATTATTATTTAAATTTTAATTATTTAAATTTTAATTATTTAATTAAAGGCCGGTGATGTATTGGTAATTCCTCTGACACGCGGTTACAGGGTGGCTAATACAAGCGATTGCATAGGTGCGTGTTGTGCTACTGAGTGCAACTGCGAAACGCAATAAAATGAACGCACTGGCTCGCAGGCGTTTAATTAAATTCATTTTAGGGTAATTTATCGCACGAAGTCATCGTTCAGATTCGGTAAACATCGGCCGAATCCTTCACATTCCCTCGAAAATTAATCTTGCTATTGCATAGGTTAATACGTGTCTACATGCCTCACATTATACTCGCACTGAATTTAACCTCGTACTGGCGTGGAACGCTAATTCTCGTTTCTTGGCTTACACTCGGTGAAATCTTATTATGTAATCACTACATATCCGACAGCACTTAACACTATTATGTAGGATTTCGACCGGTATTTTGCCCGAAGTCGTCGTTTCTCGTGAGATAATTTGGTTCCGACATGACCAATTAAAGTAGCTGCGAGTAAGGCAACCTGTGTTCTACGACCTACGCTAGATGGAAGTACGTGATTGGCCGACGTTTTCTAAATCCACGGACCAGAAGGCTAGGTAGAACTCGGACACGCTCTGAAACAGAACCGATGTTTTCAAGATGTTGTCCTCTTTTTGTTCTGAATTGACACCAACAACACCTGAACATTCAGATGCAGAGTTTGACACGTAGCTCTAGCCAATCACGGTTGTGATAGGAATAAAATAGTCTACAGGTAATGATCGAATCAGGAGTGAATGATAACCAAATGTATTTTTATTCACCCCTTAATCAAATGGCGGACCTATAGCTGCAATATTCAGGAAGAGGTTTAGCTTTGATCTCGCTCTGACTGATGGGTCAATTATAATGTTGCCAGGATACCAAGTGGCCCAAACTACATGCTTTCGCCCGCGACGTTGCTGGGCTAGCGATGACGCTCAGGCGTGCGTGAAACTCACGAAAACACACGAAAGTATGCGAGTGAAAATTTCATTTACAAAAATGTGTACATAACGTTTCATTAATTTGTAATAACGGCAAAACACATTAGATGTATACACATGCGCATACATATATACACACACACACATATATACAAGCACATATATATATATATAGAGAGAGAGAGGGGGGAGGGAGAGATATTTCTCGATAATCCTTCCACGAATACCTTCGTGCACTATATACAAGTAGGTACCTCTTAGTACAACCTACTACCTTCCTACCTACCTACACCATTGCAAGAGCTAATAATAACTATTGTTAGCTCTTATTAGGTATTATGAGCTCTTGACCATTGTAATGTAGTAGCAGATAGTGTCTTGTATTAGTAGGTAACCCCCTACCGGTACCAGTCCATGCTGCCGGCTATATATTCGAATACCTGTGTGCTGTGTTCACATGTGAGCATTCTCACACCAAACGTAACATGTACACGTAACGAGCGGTAGATTTCACGTAAAGAAACCTAATCGAAAAAAAAATTCAATCGAACATTATCGATTGATTATCAGCGATGTGATCGATCACCGCTCGTGGGAGCATCGGGACGTACCTATACAAGCCTATAATATGGGGTTGAGCACGAAGCGTGTGCTGTGTATTATGTGCGTCTATGCACAATCGCGTTGTTAAAGCAAAATGTTTCGCGTGAGACCTCACGTCGCGCTCATCTATTTCCCTTCGTCCGAGCACATCATTCTATTAGTCCCGGAATTACCGCTCTTCCATCGATATAGCTCATTATGTACATATTCTACGTACGATTATCGAGTCCTATTGGTTTGTGAAGAATCGCGTGCGACTTTGCGCGCGGTGAGAATCCTGACCGTCGTGTCTGTTATGTGTCGGTCTACGTTGTCACCACTCACACTAATCGTACCCATACAAAGAACCGTGTTGATGTGTGTGTGTGTGTGTGTGTGTGTGTGTGTGTGTGTGTGTGTGTGTGTGCGCAGCGATGCGATGGGCGTGGCGTGCGTGTGTGTGTGTCGTGCGTGCGTACGCGCGTGTGTGTGTGTGTCTGTGTGTTGTGTGTGGCGCGTGCGTGCGTGCGTGCGTGTACGCGCGCGCGCCGGTGTGTGTGTGTGTGTGTGTGTGTGTGTGTGTGTGTGTGTGTGTGTGTGTGTGTGTGTGGTGTGTGTGTGTGTGTGTGTGTGTTGTGTGTGTGGTGTGTGTGTGTGTGTGTGTGTGTGTGTGTGTGTGTGTGTGTGGTATATATAGTTAATATATGTACTGCTGTTCGTCACAACAACTGCTCCTCTGTACATCGAATAGCGATAATGATGCTTGCAGATATGTGAAATATCTGTTGGGTTTTGTGATAAAACCACCCAAAAGTGGCGTATATGATGTTAGGTGTGGGGTGGGTACTAAATAATTTGTGATTTACGATACAGAAAGATTTCGCGCGATATTCGAAATTTTCACTATAATACAGAACTTACGTGTGACACGCGGACCCGCTTAACTAGACGTGCAATGATATAAGACATCGTGTGGCGCCTAGTGTGGTGTATTAATGAGAGCTATCCGATGGTCGATGGATGAAGAACACTGATCCACGTGAACCGGTACAGCCAATGCTATATAAGACTTGCTTCACGAAAGTTAAGAAGTAACTAAACGCCAACAGTTTATTTCCCGAACGACGCTACGAGATGCAGCACCTTGTTTTTTCATTCGCGTTATTAAATTTTTGCTTGCGAACATGTTTGTCATTCATGTTCGGTTCGGTGGTTTGCTGTCATTTACATCAGATCGATTCAGATTGTCGGTTTTACAGACGATCTGTCGAACAAATACTGCCGGAATATGACGCCATCTAAAACAAGAAATCAACCGACATCATTACCACGCAGTAGCACGTGTGTTATGAATACATGTCGAATAAATACGCAACCAATGCACACGATGTTATAGCATACCGAGGATAGAACTCCAACTGATAAATCATGACCGATACAAAATTGGCAATCATATGCGATTGCCATGATTAGCGGCAGGTTTTTGCGTCAATCAGTAAAACATACAACGTACCTTCACCGCACGATGACGCAGTAATACGACAAATGCGCTCGATATTCCCCAGACGTGCGCAGGCAACTACGAATCCCGACAATGAAACGCAAGCTCGCGAATTGAATAGTCTCAGAGACCCCTACGCGAAAAGAAGAACTCGAATTATATTTGAATTCGAGCGAAGCGCCCTCTGGCTTTTCGTACTAACGTAAGCATTTCCGTGGGTTTGTGTCCACCAGAGGGCGCGGACCTTCTGCTGACCTTTAGATAAGAGGGACGTGGGAGTATATAAGTGGGAGAAAAGAGAATTGTGTGAAGCCGAGTACTTGGCCGGTCTCTACGGGGGTCGCAGTGATCGCTCTAATGGGACGCTAGATTCACGTGCAGGTTTCCTTCTGCTGTGCCAAGCTCATATCTCTAATGTTAATTGGGCTATAGAGCTATAGCGATGAACAGTGGGTGAATAGGAAAGAAAGAACGAAGAGCAGATGAGAGAGAGAGAAGAGAGAGAGAAAGAGAGGGAGAGAGAGAAAGAGAGAGAGAGAAAAAGAGAGAGAAGAGAGAGAGAGAGAGAGGGGGGAGAGGAAGAGAGAGAGAGAAGAGGGAGAAAGAGAGAGAGAAAGAGGGGGAAAGAGAGAGAGAGAGAAATAGTCCACGCAGGAGTGGCAGACAGATAGATAGAGGCGAGAGAGAGGGAGAGAGCGCGAGAGAGAAAGCGAGAGAGAGAGGAGAGAGAGAGAGAGGGCGAGAGAGAGAGAGAGAGAAAGAGAGAGAGAGCGAGAGAGAGAAGCGAAGAGAGCGAGAGAGAGAGCGACGAGAGAGGAGCGAGAGAGAGCAGAGAGTAGAGAGAGAGAAGAGAGGAGAGCGAGAAGAGAGCGGAGAGAGAGCAGGCAAGAGAGAAGAGAGAGAGCGAGAGCGAGAGAGAGACAGCGTAGAAGTGAGAGAGAGAGAAAGTGAGAGAGAGAGAGTGAGCGAGAGCAAGACAGAGAAAAAAAAGCGAGAGAGAGAGAGAGGGGAGAGAGTATGTGACAGGTAGAGGAGGGAAAGAAAGAGGGAGCGTGTAGCGTAGACGTCTACTCGCTAGAGTGCAGCAGCGTTGCATCTTATCACAACACGGCTGCGCACACACAGCGTGGCTACGCCGCACAATGCTCAGCCTTGCGGCGCCTGCTACGACGCTTAAGGGCCACCGCACACCCAGACGATTTTTACAACGATGAACAACGAATGAAACGATGTAGGTGTGGGCCGTTGGTCCATTTGTAGACGATTTTATTTTATCGGTTTGATCGTTCAGAATCCAACATGTTTGATTTGAATCCGTTATTTGGACTGCCGATTTTGTGGTGTGCGCGTGACCTCAGAAAATCGTGTGCGATAAATATTGAACAGCCAATAGCTGACGTGCCGTGTCACATTGCATTCACCCTTGCAGAAATTAGCGTAGGTGTGCGCCCCGCAACCATACATCGCTTTCATCGTTCATCGTTTGCATCGCTTCTCGTCTCATCGTTCATCGCTTCATACGTTCATCGTTTGTAAAAAATCGTCTTGTGTGTGCGGTGGCCTTTACGAGTGACCGCCGACGACAATGCGTCGCATCCACGTACGCGGAAAACGCGATCGGAAGCGGACACGAGCGCGAGAGTAACAGTGAAGAAACAAAGAGAGAGAACAGAGAAGAGAGGAGGCCAGCGAGAGATACGCGTGTGAGACGCGGGCGGAACGTGTGCACCTCCATTCGAATGCAGCCACCCGCATCACCCACACACGCAGCGACGCTCGGCGCA